TGGGGGAGACCCGATTTTTCATTAATAGTGGTAGAACACAAAAGTATGCCACATATCTATGCTACTGAGACCCATTATAGATCAATGGCCATCAAGTTCAACCAATCGTGATCTATAGCTCGAGACCCTCTGATGATCTTAGACATGCTCATCATCTAGAAACTACTCTATGTGGTCAATAGTCGATGTTTGAGTCCAAGGGTCCATACCACAATGTTTACGATGACCCAATGCCGATTTCTAGATATTAAAGGGATACTTTCCCACTCCAAATTCATATTGAATTCTATGTCTATGAATCCAATGTATTACAATATAATACATATGATGACTATAAAAATTATCCACTAGAATTAAACATATAGTTGCCATCACATATGGTTTCATCATCATATCATCTAACCAAAGGTTAATCAAAAGGTCAAAACCCCACAAACTTCATGTAAGTCAATTTCATTTCCAAAACCATAAATCAAGAATTATTGTCTTTTAAAGATTTCATATAATCAAAACTACATTCTCCCCAAGGATTGATACTTCCTTATTCAATGAGATAACCATCTCCATAAGAATCTTTATAAATGGTACCTACCAAGCATGAACACAGAATTATAAGGTTTCAACATCAAATCGCTTTTCAAAGATAGATAAACCAACACTCTTATCCAAGAAAAATCGAAAGTGTAATCTGTCAAAGAGGGCACCCCCCCAATCTCCCAAAATGCACTAAAATTACCAATAAAGGGAAATTCATCAGTAGGTAAGTTTGAGATATTAAAACATGACATTTTGATATGTATAAAGTTTAGAGAAGTGGTAGGATGAACCTACTTGCTATATTTTGAAGAAAACCTAGAAAATAGACAAAGAAGCTCTATATCTTGGGGGAGAAACTTAAGCTTGATCCACATCAAATCATTGGCTTAAAAACTCATGAGACTTTTACAAATTAGCCTTAAATGTGGTCTACATCAATATTTATGAAGGGGGTGAAGAGGAGGAAGCATGAGGAGAAATGGGATGAATTAGGTCAAAAAGTCAAAAAAATATCAAATTTATAGTCGCCCAACACCATACCTAGGACCTGAAAGTCGCTAGACAAGTTGTGTGTCTCACCCAACCCATCCCCAATGTCTCTAGTGAGTTACATGGCTTATGCGGCAATCCTAGGTCGCGGGAGTAACTATTTCGTGCATTTTTCTTCGTTTTCTTGGATTTTCGCACAACTTTTTAACGATACTCGTGGTACTAAAAGACTTGATAATTAACATTTAAAAGGTCAAAAACATAAGAGTAACACCCTGATATAAATATTGAAATTTTCAGGTTTTACAATGGTGGTTAAGGTTACTGTACAAAGAACGATTAGAAGATATTTTGTTGAATGTTTTGGAGTTTTTATGTAATAAAGAGATTGAAAAGCATGTTCTCGATTTGTTTTTGTCTGAGCTATGAGGGAGCGTATGGTGTAGTAAATGGTCAACGGGGAACCAAAACATGAAGGGGATGGGGTGTTGCTCGTGAATGGGAACTGGAAGGTGAGGTGTAGGGGTCACCGGCTAACAGGAAGAGAAGGGAGGTTTATTTTCTGGGATTATGATATTATGTATATGTATATCTAATTAAATACTATTATATAGTTTCTTTCAGTTTTTGAAAGGAAAAGAAAAAATGGAGGTAATAGGTAAAAGACAAACGAGGGGGTGAAAACACAAAAAGATCCTCATTTAACAGAGTAAATTAGAGGAAACACTTTCAAAGAAAAATGCAAAACACATTGATCACTACTAAACTAAGTGAAGTCTAGGGACGTTGTTCATAGCTGGGTGTAAACCACAAGAACCAAACTAAATCATATAAAAAACTATTGACCCTTGTGTGTTAAGTTGTGGCGTTCGACAAGCAACATAGAGACAAGTTGCAATGTAATTAAAGATAACAACTTTGTGCAATCGGTGGACAAACAAGGACAACATTCAATTGGACAAACGACTGTTGTGTGCAATTAAGAGAACGTCAACATTGTGGCAAAGGTATTCGAGTGTAATCTTATAGCCCAGTATAATATGATGATATATCGTAAAGGAGCAAATCAGAGGTATTTGAGTGAACAAGAGTCGTAATTTTGTTACATCGACAACATTCATTATGACCGACTCGATGAAGGCTCTTACTCATGTCATTTATTTGAAAACAAACACCCCTTAGTTAAAGAAACCATAATATGTGGCATAATTTCATTGAAATCAACAATCTTATTTATAATTGTTGGTGTCAATGACATGTTGCTCCATAGGTTTCTAAAGCTAAGAGTAAGAAAAATCTTTAATAACCTTAAGTAGATTCAAACTGTTAACTAATAGATCTTTAATAATCTTAAGCAGATTAGGGGTGTGCAAAACTCGAATGGTTCGAAATCTGAACCCAAACCGAAAATGAGGTGTTTATGTAAAACCTGAATGCCCCAAAATCCGAAAACCTGAAAACCGACTTTTGAGGGAAAATTCGGGTTTGATTTTTAGCCACCCAATCCATCCAGAAACCCGAAATATATATACATATATTTTAAATATTATATAAATACATTTATTTATTTTTTAAAAATTCTAAAAAATCCAAATCGGTCCTGTTCTTTTTTAATTTCTAAGTATACTATCGCTTTATCAATCGATTTAGTGGATTGGAGTTAATTACATTTCTAGTGACTAAAATTAAGAAAATAAAAGGTAATTAAGTAAAAATAAAACGAGCTAACTAAGTTAAAATGTATTAAAAATATTTGAAATAACTTAATATTGAATAAATATTATTATTTTAAGGATAAAATTACGGGTTTTTTTTTTCTCTGTTGTTTGTTAGAAACTGTAGATTTCTTTCCTATTGTTTTAAAATTTCGCTTTTCATCTGTTTCTATTTTCGTTCTTAAGATAATAATTATTTTAAGTTTGAAAGACTAAAATAGAAATGAATTATAAATAACTAGAAGCGTACTCGCGCAATGCAGCGAGATACATCGTTTCATTTTATTCTTTATCTCAGTCGATGTTATAATATGGCTTTATGTGATTTTAAGAAAGCGATGATGTTTTTATTTTTGAATAAAATATATGTTTGAATATATCATAAAAATTTGACAAAAATATATCGATATTAGTATCAAATTAACTATTTGAAATTCCTCATTTTTTTGAGTAATTTTTTAATTCAATTTTTTTTATAATTTAATTTATGTACAATGACGAAGTAATTTATATTTGGTTTAATAACATAACCTTTTTTATAAAGATAATAATTATTTATTTTGTTGGAACTCGATAATTATTTTAATTATATTTTAGATTTTTTATATTTTAAAATGAGATGTTCATCCTCTATTTGATTATGTTTATCCGTAGTTATTTATATGAATTCAAACATCGAGCTTTAATAAGTTGTACTTATGCATAATTATTTGTAATCTTGAATTTTAAGTAATATGTATCAATAAACAATACTTCGTGAAAAAAAATTRTTTTTAARAGTTTTTGTCAAATGTTTTATAATATAGTATAGATAGTATAGATTATGTGTTTTAAAAAAACAATAATGATTTTATTTTTGAATAAAATATAAATTT